TCTCTCTCTCTCTCTCTCTCTCTCTCTCTCTCTCTCTCTCTCTCTCTCTCTCTCTCTCTCTCTCTCTCTCTCTCTCTCTCTCTCCGCCTATGGCACGAGTTGTTGGCAGACTGCGGCCACACAACCTTTGCAGCGACACAGATGTTAGGACGAGACACTGTAAATAGAAAACAAAATACCATCAGTTCATGCTCACAAAATCCATAGCCCAAATCATCCCCTCCGCTGCCATGCAAAACTCGATGCATCGGTGGAACCCCTCGACCGGTTTCGCCCACGCCACCAACGTAGGTCTCCTCAGGAGGGTGAACTCTGATGAGTTCGTGTGCCCGAAAAAGAGGAAGCGAAGGCCTTGCTACCTCGTATAAATAACTTCGGTGCGCCTGTGAATGCTATCGCTCGCGAGTCAGCCGACCAGTCGTTTCGGCCAGAGTCAAGAAACAGTGGAATCCAAGAAAGTTGGTCGTCTGAACAGTCAGCTTCTCAACCGAGCGTCTACGTATACTTGCCTATAAATATCGTTTTCGTACCCGGCCATCCTAATGGTCCGGGTTCTCCTATGAGTCGCTTTCTCGTACCCGGCATGCCTAGTGGTCCGGGATTCCCCCACGAATCGCTTTTTGTACCCGGCTTGCCTAGCGGTCCGGGTTCAAAGATCTAAAATTGCTAGCACCCGGTGTGCCTAGAGGTCCGGTGCTTACCGACTTGTTTGAGAAAACCCATATTTCCTCACCCTAAAAACTCCGAAGAGCTGCGGAACGACACATGCAATTTTTTTTCCCCAAAATACCTAGGTCCCGTCTACAGGAAACCAGACTCAAAACAAAACAAAACAAAAAGACACAAAATAAGATACAGAGGACCGTTGGGTCACAAGCCCGATTTTCGCTCAGAGCGTCCAGTGCATCCAGTCCACGTATGGGCGCCCCTCCGCCGACCTACTATCATGGATCTCAGAGTGTCCAGCATCCTCCTAGGTGCCTGATTGTTCGCAGCCTTGGCTAAAACAACCAGGGCACGGAGAGAGACCTCCGGGGGGTATCCCCGGAGGTTTGCTTCGAATACAGCACATGCTATCGTACCCAAAACCAGTGTCTTGCTCGTTGACTGTTCCCACAATCTCCGGATTGTTGCAGTCAGTACCGCCTTCTTCACTCTCTTCTCCGAGTAAGAAGTAAAATCCTGCATTGTCGGAAAAACCAGACAACCTCGTTCCGTCAGAGGTTCGGTATTCTTCGTCAGTGGTACGTAATGTAGTCTCAGCGTCTCGCTACAGAGGAAAATCGAGCCTCCCACGAACTGCCAAGTTAGGCCACAGTCATCCTTCCGTACGACTTCAAGATTCTCGTCATATATCTTCTCAAAACGATCGAACAGCCTTGCTGGAAAATGCTCATCGTGTACCGAGCGGTTAAACCCGATCACAATCGAAATGTCATCCATAATGCGCCATCCGTGGATCAACCTCTTGTCTGCTCCCAACTGCTTTAGAAAGCGGAATTCCGCCATGGCACATGTGATTGAGGCCAGAACAGGGCTCGTGGATTTCCCCATCGGGATTCCAAAGATTTGCTTCATTATCTTCCTCCCGCACCGAATTACCGAGTGCTCGAGATCAAATCTGACCCCTCGAAGCAGATCCTGGAGTGTGAAGCTGACATAGCCTTCGCTCTTCTTCCTCGTGTCGCTGATGATACATGCCTTTGCTCGGTATGAAACTTTCACAGACTTACAGCCGCTGTCTTCAAATGTGCAGAGTAACTGCTCTACTGCTTGAATCACGGCTTCATGCGGGATCCGTGAAAACATCTCCTTCATATCGTAACATCTTCCCACCATATGCGAGCAGCCAGCTACAGTCATTCTTCGTGTTGCTGATTCCATCCCTTCCCGCAGATCAGCAACTGAATTGAGGTAGAATGAACTCCTTGTCGGGAGCCTCAACAACAGATGGTGCAACACCCTTGCTATCCTCATCTACGTAATTGCTGCAGGGTCAGAGGGCGATGGTGCTATCGGCCGCCACCTTTCGAGGTCCTTGTGCTTGGGAATGACATATGTTGTTCCTAATCTACCATCAACTCGCCAAGGACCAAGAACATGCAGTCCTGCTTCCGTGAAATCCTTCTTACAGCGAGCTAGGAAATCACCCTCCGATTCGATTGTGCCGACCTCGTGGTAGTTGGTGTTCCACAAAAAAATCTTCCCAAAAGCGGGTCTGTAGAGAACCGGACAGAAAACAGCAGTGTCCCCTTGATTTCTGTCTACCGGCACCAAGACCAAGCCACTTAGTCTCTTGCTCCATCTCTTAACCTCAACATCTGTCCAGGCTAGTGAGGTGCGCCTCCCCTCATCAATTGTGCCCTCGGGGACCGTAGGTGTTGGTGCGGTTCCCCGGATGTGCTTCGTTGCGTCCAAGATCGCCTGTATCAAAGTGTCCTTCTTCAGTGTCATGCTAGCTCGCGTGATGTTCTTCGAGTTACGTAGAAAAGTCGGAACATCGTCCAGATCAGCAAACCTTGTCGCTACATGGCCCTCCACTTTCGGGAGATTGAATCTGTCACACCTGCACGGGAATTCCTCCTCTACGACGAAGATCTTCTGGTTATGTAACAGTTGTCCCACCGTCTTGGATCCTGGTCTTCATGAAACCTGCAACAGCACTGTCTCGTAGCTTGCAGTCAATCACTCGCTCGGCCATCCTTCGAATCCCGCTCTTTCGTATGCAGGAGTCGAAACGTAGCTTCACATTAACCTTCCTCCTTACGCCAGTACCTATCTTCTTCCTGATTGGGTTTTCAATCCTCCAACGTAGAGCCAGCTTAGTCTTCTTCTCCGTAAAACAACCAGCTGCCCGGTATAGCCCTATAAGCTTGTTCGTAGTCAGATTCGCCAGTTGTGTAACCGGTCTCGGGCATCTGAGGAGTGATGTGAGCAGCTGCTTATTCTTCTCCGTCGTAGTTTTCATCTTCACGATTCGCCGGAAGACTATGATACCTCCCTGTTGCAATATCTCCTTAGCGTGCCTGAGCAACACCCGTTTATCGGCGATCAAAAGCCTTGTATTCCCAAAGACTTTTCTAATCGCCTTCCAACCATCAATCCACACAACTCCCCTACTGAAAGTTACCACCTCATGCAACTCCTCCATACCACTCCTGGAATCTAGCCAGTTGTAAACAGAGGTAAAATTAACCCCCTGATTACATCCGGCTACTGTCTCCTTGACACGAGTCAGTGCTGATCGACCCTTTCTTTCCCTTCGGCCTCTTCTCACCTTCTTCCGTTTGCTAATTTCGCGCTTATCGATATCTCGTGAGTTCAGACCAGGACAAAAATCTGCTATCAGAAATTTCTCATATGCGTAGTCGTCTACCCTCTCCGTGTGACGAATTGGTAATACCACGTATCTTTCCAATCCAAAAGCCCGCAGCCACCTGTAAAGGTGTGGTGTGAGACCCAGTGCATAGTTCCTGGCATTTCTGCAATGCTCCCGCCAGCGTTGGATGATCGGTCTCACTGTGCATCCTACATATGTCCTCCTCGACCAGGGACTAACTACCACGTGGACCCTTGGGGAACTGAGATCCAAGAATCTACTCAAATCCTGTGTTCTCAACAGGTATTTCTCAAGCCACGGTATTAGTCCCCTTACTGCCAAAAAGATAGTAGTGAATGTGATGACACATTCAACCTTCCTAGTTGTGTCACCACTAGCGTTGAGCTCCCGCAAGATCGAGCGTTGGTTAAACCAATAGTTTAGTCTCTCCCATAGCTCGGCATTCGTGGGAGCTCGACACCGTCAATTCGAGCCTTCTTCAGGCTGCGCAGGTGCGGATCTTAGAATGATTTGGGGCTGCCCTCCAACCATCCGTTCATGCACAATGCGATCCTTCCTAACCTCGATTTTCGGCGTGAACGGAGCTCTCTCCTTCCCCTTCTTGCCCGCACTTCCCTCCTCCTTCTCATCGATTCCTTCGTATGCCAGCTCGACTTGCTGCCTGGTCAGTAGCTCGACCACCTCGGGTTTCCTCGTATAACGAATGCCTTTCTTATCGCATAGTTTCTTGAGATCCGGCGCACTCTTTCCCGAGTAGATCTTATGGGCAGAAATGCAGTACTCGATCAGCCCCTTTTGAGAGCATCCCGCTGAAAGTACCTTATATCCTCCTGTGAGTGGAGTCCTCGGTTCTTCCTCTCTCTCGTCTCGGTCCTCCTCGTTTAGTCTCTGTTCCCCTTGTGCTTTCTCAGGTACAACAGTTCCGTGGTTCGAACACTCACCACGTTCGAATCTCGGAGTAAGATCCACCGGCGAGACAACCTTCTTCCTGTCCGTCTGCTTTCCGACTATCTTCTTGGCGCCGCGCTCCCTTCTCCTTCTTACGCCGACCTCTTCCTTTGCTGTCATCCTCCTCTGATGTGGATGTCCATACCGTGGAATCCGATCCGGATTCGGCCTCTGAGTAGGATCGATCACTTGCGCCGGAGAGAAGAGGTTAACCGACCCCCCCATTTTTCACCGCAATTTATAAGAAAACCATAAGGCCATTTTAAGCAAACTTCATACCGATGTATAGAGTGCACTTCTTACTAACATATTATAAAAACAAAACGAAAAAAAAAAAATTAAAAACATATAAAACAGCAAGCCAAAAGTGCATTTTCATGAAATTTTGGCAAAAAAACTGTCATCAAATTTTCACAATTTTCACCACTCTTCACAACACAAATTCTAATACTCCAAATGACATCAAATTTGACACACAGAAAGCTTGTCCAAACCACTTGTGATACCGTCCCCTCTTGGACCTCTTACCTTTTCGTTTGCTGTTCCTGGATTTCCGATTTCTATCAGCCGACGGTACGTTGTTTTTTGTGTCTCTTACCGCAACAGTTGCTTCCTGCTCCCTTCGTCTCCATTCCTCGTTCAGATCCATGCGCAACTGCAGTCGCAACTCCTCCATCTTCCTGGCAAAATCCTGGTTCTTCCACAGTTCCTCTTCCTCCTTGGTCTTCTTTTCCTCCTCAGCCTTCCGTTTCTCCTCTAACTCTTGTTTCTCCCGCCGTGCCTGCCTGTGATGCTCCTTTATTTCTTCTAACTTGGGATCCGGTTGGTCGTAGTTGTGCTGGTACGGTCGTCCTCTCTTGGACCAGCAATCACGCGCATAGCGGCCTGGTTTTCCGCAGTTGTAGCAGACCCCGCCAGAATTAATCACAGCATTGTTACCATTCGTGTATCCCCCTCCGGTGCCACCCTGGCCCCCTTGGTGGGTATATCCATACCCCGTTCCTCCGTAGCTCGCGTTGCTCCCCCCTCCAACCGAACCATTGGTCAAATACATCTCCACCAGTTCGCTCTGCTAGAAATCTAGAGTCATATTGCGCTCGCAAAATATCTAGAGGTCTCTACGAATCACTTCAACCAAGAGAAGTTGAATACACAGCCAGTCCCCAACTACCAAAAGGGCTTACCGTGGCCCGTATTCAAAGCATCATACACCCTCAATCTGAAAACGATATCCCTCAAAACAAAACTCATATTAATGCGCCGCGCGAAAGCCGCTACATTTGCCAAATTTCAGCGATATCTTCAGAAGTCATATTCCCCTTACATCTGGCGGTCAACAAAGTTCTCTCAATCAAGATCAGAGTCCGAGTGAGGTCATCGTACAGTCTGCGCCGTATTTGCTCATTGCTGATACATCTAATCATATAAAACAATGGTCTAATAGTAGCTTTCACATGTCTATTCAGACATCGTATCAACTGAGACTAAAAAGACACATCTCTCCTTCTAATCACAATTCTTCTTCGTCCGCAAATCCTGCAAAGGGTCGGTCCTCTAACCACCTTCATCCCGAGTTTCGTAAGAAGCAGAGCCTACTATCAACATGCCACATCCAATAATCATCACACCTATACCTACGATAATCGCCCTTACAGTACCTCGCACTCGATACATCGGGTGATCGGCGGTCTAAAACAGAACCTATCTCCGGAATTATAAGTCGCCAGCTCCTCACAGCGTATCCTTCTCGTAACATCAAGGAAACTCACCTCACCTCCCCGCTGAAGTTCGAAGATGCTTGTCGACGTAGCCACCAACGCATACACACCTTACGGTTACTACGTGCCTACGAGTTGGCAGACTGCGGCCACACAACCTTTGCAGCGACACAAATGTTAAGACGAGACACTGTAAACAGAAAACAAAATACCATCCGTTTATGTTCACAAAATCCATAGCCCAAATCATCCCCTCCGCTGCCATGCACAACTCGATGCACCGGTGGAACCCCTCGACCGGTTCCGCCCACGCCACCAACGTAGGTCTCCTCAAGAGGGTGAACTCTGATGAGTTCGTGTGCCCGAAAAAGAGGAAGCGAAGGCCTTGCTACCTCGTATAAATAACTTTCGTGCGCCTGCGAATGCTATCGCTCGCGAGTCAGCCGGCCAGTCGTTTCGGCCAGAGTCAAGAAACAGTGGAATCCAAGAAAGTTGGTCGTCTGAACAGTCAGCTTCTCAACCGAGCGTCTATGTATACTTGCCTATAAATATCGTTTCCGTACCCGGCCAATGCGGCCATCCTAATGGTCCGGGTTCTCCTATGAGTCGCTTTCTCGTACCCGGCATGCCTAGTGGTCCGGGATTCCCCCACGAATTGCTTTTTGTACCCGGCTTGCCTAGCGGTCCGGGTTCAAAGATCTAAAATTGCTAGCACCCGGTGTGCCTAGAGGTCCGGTGCTTACCGACTTGTTCGAGAAAACCCATATTCCCTCACCCTAAAAACTCCGAAGAGCTGCGGAACGACACATGCAAATTTTTTTTCTCCCAAAATACCCAAAATACCTAGGTCCCGTCTACACGAAACCAGACTCAAAACAAAACAAAACAAAAGGACACAAAATAAGATATAGAGGACCGTCGGGTCACAAGCCCGATTTTCGCTCAGAGCGTCAAGTGCGTCCAGTCCACGTATGGGCGCCCCCCAACCGACCTACTATCAGGGATCTCAGAGCGTCCAGCATCCTCCTAGGTGCCTGATTGTCCGCAGCCTTGGCTAAAACAGCCAGGGCACCGAGAGAGAGAGAGAGAGAGAGAGAGAGAGAGAGAGAGAGACAGAGAGAGAGAGACAGAGAGAGAGAGACAGAGAGAGAGAGAGAGAGAGAGAGAGAGAGAGAGAGAGAGAGAGAGAGAGAGAGAGAGAGAGAGAGAGAGAGAGAGAAAGAGAGAGAGAGAAAGAGAGAGAGAGAGAGAGAGGACAAAGAGGAGGAAGCGACGACACAGTGCACCAAGGAGGTCAAGAGGCGGGAAGACCAGCACACACCACGTCGAGACTCTTCGTCTTGTCTTGTCATCTTGACTACCTGCAATTTTTTTTATTTTATTTTTTTGAATTTCTCATTTCTTTTTCTTTTTTTTTTGTTTTGAGACAGGTGCGCCATATCTACACGTCGCACCTTTGTCTCCGCTCGTGCCATTGGCGATGGCAGAGTCTTGATCGTACTCTCTCTCTGACACACGCGCACGCGCTCGCACACACACACACACATATGGCCATACTTCGTCCTGTGTGTGTTTGTGTGCATGTGCGTGTGTTCGCGAGTGAGAGAGAGGGCCTCGCCACACCTATCCCGAAATGTCCAAAACGCGGCATCGCCACACCACTCCCGAAATGTCGAAAACGCGAATTAACTTCCCGCTAGAACATGGCCAGATGCGACCGCCGCTTTTTTTTTGACAGCGGTGTGGCGATGCCCACGGACTGCCCACACCGCGGACCCAACGCCACACACAGGTGTCCCTGCATCTGGCCATGTTCTAGCGGAATGTTCGTTCCGATCCAAAAAGATGCAAAAAAAATGTTTCTTTTGTTTTTTCTTTTGTCCTTTTTCAATTTTTTTTATTTTTTTTCGGGACCGACGCAAAAAAAATGCAAATTGACGAAAAAAGAAAAGAAAAGTGGACGAACACAACGGCAAAACCAGGAAAAAAAAAGAAAAGAAAAAGAAAAAAAAAAAGAAAAAGAAAAAAACAAAAGGAAAAACAAAACAAAAAAAGAACGAAAAAAAAAATAAACGAGAAAGTGCAAGGAAAATAAGTAACAGCGAGATGACAATTCCAGATCACACCATCACATTGAAAGCCAAATAGGCACATTGTGTCCAGAGAGCAGCATTGCACCAATAATACACCAATGGAAGTTCGTAGCACTGAAAACCAATGTTCATGGAGAGCATACGCTCTCTTCCCAACACAAGAGTCCAGTTCCTTCACACTCCCACTTGGCGCTCAGCGCCCAGCCTACTCCCACACAGCTACTACAGACTACAAAAAGACAATGCAACTGTTGACATCAGCGGCAGCCCGAAGTACTTGAAGATGTCGCCCATGCAGACCATCGCCAATACAAGGTACGTGCCCTCACATCATCATCATCATCATCATCCTTCACCTATCCCCTGACTACACCCACGTCTGTCCTCTGTTTCACCCGAAGACCACCCCTGCGCTTCACTGTAGTCCAAGCCCACCAGCTATGGTGGCTGGGCTATGGCGCTGCCCTCAGCAGCGCCCTCCTCCTCTTCACGACAGCACGTGCTGCACCTCGCCTCTCAGCGCCAGCCAGCAGCCGCGAGCCTTTGCTCCAGCAGCGCTGCCGCTAGCATGCGAGTGCCTGAATGAGGCTGCCTGGCCATAGCTCTTTCCTTTATGGAAAAGAGCTTGCCAGCTCTCGCAGCCTGGCTGGGCTGGCCTGGGCCCAGAAGCTTCCGGAAGGCCCCAGGAGGCTGCCTGGATGCAGCAGCTACTGGGCTGCTGGGCCTCGTTCTGTTGGGCGCCCAACTGTCTCTGTATGAGGCTGCGAATCACGCCCAGGGCCTGCATTCTTTGGAAAGGCCCGGTAGGCCGTGGAAATGTCTTCGGCGCTCAGCCTGTGTTTCTTTCAACCAACTGGCGCGTCGCAACTGCCTGGACCCCAGATATGAAATTTACAGTCGTAGGCCTCTTGCAAAAAGCCAGGCCCGCCTTCACTTAGGGCGGGTAAGGCTGCAAACAGAGCCCCATAGGCCTACCGAGGACCCTGATCCTCGCATTCCCTCCTCCTTTACTTCGTGAGTCCTCTGAGAAGTTTCTCATTCTGCAGGCATCTTCCCCTTGAGTGCTCTTTCATAGCCTGCGATGACCTCAGGTGCTGTTCTCATGAGTTCTTCTCGTGTGAACCACCTGTCTTCTTTAGGATCCAGATGATGTCTGAAGCTCACACGATATTGCATTCTCGGTTTAGGAGGTTGCCCTCTGGCTGATGGTCGAGGAACAGGCATCACTCGATGCTCGATGATCTGGTCAATATCCACTTCGCCATCCATGGTTGGGGGTAGCATTGATCTTCTGGAAGGAAACTGCTCAGTTGCAGCGAAAGGTGCCAGCTTGGAGGCATGAAACACTTGGTAGGTGCGTAGGTGTGCAGGAATACGGATCACGTATGAAGGCCCATCCGGTTGATCCCCTACAACGTCCAAGATCTCCCAGGGCCCGAAATACAGTGGCATCAGTTTTCTAGATATCCCCAACTCCTGACCTAATTTAGATGACTTTACCCAGACTCGTTCACCTACCTGAAAGTTAGAGCGCCGTCTATGCTTATTCTCAGATGCAATCGTATCATCTTGAGACTTCCTAATATGTTGAACAGCCTGCTGCAACATCTGTTTATATTTGACAACAAACTCTATGCTGCCAGGTGCTGCAGTGGAGTGCCTTTCTGGTAGCAAAAAGTCCAATGCACTTCTGGGTTTCCAACCAAGATGTAACTGGTTGGGAGTCATACCGGTTGTACTGTGCACAACATTGTTGTACAAGCTGGCGACGAGAGGCAACTTCTCGTCCCGGTCATCCTGACTTGGCTTAATGTAATGCCGAAGCAGGTGCTGTACTACCCGGTTCATCTGTTCTGCTTGGCCATTTGACTCAGGGTGATTTCCTGAAGTCATTTGGAGTTCGGTGCCCATCTGTTCAGCAGTTGACTGCCACAGTTCACTTGTGAATCTCACATCCCTATCGATAACGATGGATGTAGGCAAACCAAAATCCCGTACCCAATTATCCATTAACAGTTTGATGACGTAGTCAGTTTTAGCTGTTTCTCGCATGACAATCAGTCTTGCGTACTTAGTAAAACGGTCCACTATAAAAAAGATATGCCTCTTTCCAAACTTGCTGGTCACAAGGGTGTCCATGAAATCCATAGACACACTCTGACCTGGTCCTTCAGGAATCGGCAAGGGCTTGATCATCCCAAGCGGAGCCTGAGTCCTTGCTTTGTCTCTTTGGCAAACCTGACAAGTTTCAACATAGCGTTTTGCATCTATCATCATAGAAGGCCACCAGAATCTTTGTTCTAAGTTCGCTGATGTCTTTTTGTAGCCAAAATGACCAGTTGCATCATGATATTCGCCTAAAAACAAACTACGTGAAGACTCACTATCAGGAACACACAACCTTTTATTCCCTGCCTTCTCAAGGAACAACAAGTCATCTACCATCGTAAATTCATCCAAAATCTTCTTCTCCTTTGCTTGGAATCTACGGATGATTTCTGACATGACTGGGTCTCCTTGATAGGCTTCCACCAACAATCGAGTGAGTTCGTCAGATATGCCAAACTCAGTGACTAGCGCGCCCAGATAATCTGCCCTTCGTGATAGTGCATCAGCCACCTTGTTATACGTACCCTTGATAGGATCAAGTTGATAGTCATACATGTCTATCACTTGAATCCATCTCTTGAGTGCGCCTGACAACACAGGCTGTGTCTTAATCCAGCGCAAAGTCTCATGGCCAGACCTCACATAGAAGAATCTTCCTAGGAGGTAGTGTCTCCAATGGACTAGCGCTTTGTATAGGGCGTAGAACTCTCTCTCATACGTGGACTTAGCTAACTTTTGGGATGGCATCTTCTTGCTCATATACTCGATCGGTCTCAACTTGGGCCCTTCCTGTTGCGCTCGGACCGCGCCTATGCCATATTGGTTGGAGTCTGTGGTCACAACAAACGGCTTGTCAGGATCAGGAAGTTTGAGAACTTCATAGTGTGTTAGAGCATACTTCAATTTCTTGAAACTTGCCTCACACTCTTCAGTCCACTCCCAAGGGGTGTCAAGTCGAGTTAGATCTGTTAATGGGGAAGCTATATTACTATAGTTCTTCACAAACAGAAGATAATAGCCCGTCATCCCCCAAAACGATCTGACCTCAGTAACAGTCTGAGGTCTAGGTCAGTCACGTATGCTAGCCACCTTTGCATCTTCCGGCCTCAATCCATCTGCTGAAATTTAATGACCCAAGTACAGGATCTTGGTGCGACCAAACTCACATTTATCCAAGTTCACCTTGTACTAGTGTTGTCTTAGGAGATCTAGCACTGTTTTCAAGTGCTCAGCGTGCTCCTCTACAGTCCTACTAAAGATGAGAATATCGTCGAGGTACACGACGATAAACTTGTCCAAGTAGTCATGAAAAATCTTGTTCATCGCGTGCTGGAACGTACCAGGCGCATTGCATAGGCCAAACGAGATCACCACAAACTCGTACAGACCGTACTTGGTCTGAAATGTAGTTTTGTGCTGATCCTCAGGTCTAACGGCAATTTGATGGTATCCGGATTTCAAATCTATCTTTGTGAAGTACTGGCATCCCTGCACTCTATCCAAGAGGTCGTCAATCCGGGATAGGGGCTCCGCGTTCTTAACGGTGATGGCATTGAGGCCCCTATAGTCAATTCACATCCTTAATGGACCTCCCTTCTTTGGGACAAATAAAACTGGCGCACCGTAAGGGGAGGTTCTAGGCCGTATCCATCCCTTCTCTGTGAGCTCCTTGAGCTGGCGGCGAAGCTCATCTAACTCCGCGGGAGACATCCTATAGATTCGTCCTCTAGGCACCTTGCTACCTGGGACAATCTCTATTGCATGTACAACCTCCCTTTCCACCACGTCTGTGGGCTCCTAAAAAAGGTCTTAATATTGTGCGACGACTCTTTCTATCTCTGGGGGTGTTTTAACGGCCTCCCCTTTCTCAGAGACAAAGACTAGATACATGTCCTCCTCTCGATTCTGCTTATAGTAGTTATAGAAGGATGAAGCACACATACACTCGTAGTTTTGTATTAGACTGCTAGCTTTATACTTCTGCAATCTAACAGTTCTACCGCTGGGCAATTTGTGGATCAACACCTTTATATCCCAGTCAAACTGAGGTTGCGAGACTTCGAGGTAGTACATACCTAGTAGCATATCGAATGGTAGTTCGTCGCTCACCAGGAAGGAGATCTTGTGGATCACTTCCCCTCCTCCATAGGAGAAGGAACAGACTACGTCCTTGACATAGTCCTTTACAACCATTTGGTGCTTGTTGGCTAGCGTAGAAGCTACAGTTCTGATAAGCCGCTGCACTTGGTCCCCTAAGCGAGATCTATCTACACAACCTTGCGGCCACCTACGTCTACTTCTACCACGAAATGTTCACCCTTTGGACCTCTACTGATCATCGTCCAAGAGTCCCTGGGGTCCTTCCCTAACCACTCAGTCTCTAACTCTTCTAGGGCCTCAGACACATCTCTTGAACAGAGCGTCGGTGGGTCTGAATGTGTCTGCGGGGCGATGTGTGGGTCACTAGCCTTGGCCAACGCCTGAAGTGGGGAAGGCAACGTAACCATTTCAGCGCGAGTAAGAGCGGCTAACACTCCTACTGGCCCGAGGTGTTTCCCTGTGAGCTGCTCGCAGAAGCACTCCCATGGTTCGAAGATAAGCCCACCACCGTTGGTGAGGCTACCTTCGTGGTGACCTTTTTGCCTCGGCACGTACGCAACGTCTTGCCATAATTGCCACAGTTCATGCAAGTGCCCCTGGCAACTCGGTCCCTCCACACCTCGTAATCCAAACCAAGCTTCACCCATGCGGGTGTCCCTTGGTCTCCCTGACCCGTGGACCGTCCTACCTTCTTCTTCCCAGTCCCCCTAGCCTTTTCTTGATGGGGGCCACGACTCCACCATCTGAAGTCTCACTAGCCCCATCGTGCTCTGTCAACTCCCCCAAGGTCTGGGAATTCGTAAATCTCTGTCGTTTGACCATCATGGTCAACGAACATTAACTGACCTTTCTTTTTTCCAGTCCTAGGGTAGTCTCTTCCTACCATTATGAGATACGTTATGAGCAGACCCCGGCTTTGCCTCTATGTCCAGAGCTTTCTTACTAAAAGAAATGAAGGTGTGTTGTTCGACATAGGCCTCGTCAACCAGCTTGGTCCTTACCTTTGCAGGTAGGCACCTTAGGTAATCCGTCAGGAGAACCAGCTGGTTAAAATGCACACCAGGTACCACGAGAAGGCGTTCTACGGTGTCTGTAAGCTCTCTAACATCCTTGAACCTGCGGGAACAAAGGTTGTTGATAGCATTGGTGGCCTTTTGAGCCCCTTGCGGGTCATGCCACCTGTTGTAGACCGACCGTACGAACTGCTCCAATGTCTGAGCCTGTGCCCAGGCATCGAAACTCTGACTGTAGCCCTGTTGCTGCACTAGACCATTCAACCAGCGAGGTGCTGACCCTTCTAGAAAAGAGGCAGCCATAACAACTTCTTGCTCTGGCCTTGTGAGCTTGTGCCTCACATAAGTAGGCACAGTCCTCACCCAGGTGTCCAAGTCCTCCTTCTTTCTATCTCCAGAGAAAGGCTTGGGACTCATCAGAGGTATCTTGGGCATCCACTGCATAGGCTGCATGGGCCCAGGGGCTTGCTGCAGCGGCTGCATTGCCACTGAAACAGGCTGCTGCACACTAACCTGGGATTGGCTTGACAGTGGGACTATAGTTACCACTGTCGTGGATGGTACGGCTGAGACTCTTTGAACCGGACCACTAGTTGCTGCTAAACCACCTGGAGGGGGCATGCCAAACATAGGAGAGAAGGTTTGCCCTGTGTGTGGCGGCATCCATGATGGACCCGCACTCGCAGGGGGAGCTACAGCAAACTGTGGCTGCCTCGCTACTATGCGAGGAACCCGAAGTTCAGCCAGGATTTGTTTTTGGCCTGCCACCAAATCGGCCAGCAATTCCTGTTGAACGTTTTGCGCTTCAGCTACCGAAAGTAAAGCATTGCGCAGCACACGACCAGCAGGGTTTAAAGCTGCCTCATCTAGTGTTTCCAGTCTGCCTAGCTCCTGCATTCTACTGCCTAGTCTAGCCTTCCTAAGTATGGCTTTTCTTCTCCTCTCTGCTGCCTCGTCCAACTGTCACCGTAGCTCATCCTGAAGTTCTTCTGCTTGCCAGATTTCTAAGTCCTCCGGCGTGAGGTGAATTTGCTGGCTGACTTGCAAGCTAGCAATCTGACTAGTGGAAACCTGAGAGCCACTCTGACTGACTCCTGACGAAGTGGACTGTGTAGAGACTTGCGACATAACTGAGGTAGCCATGGTTGTACCGGTACTAGCTGAGACTCTAGTCTTGGCACTATCCTCAGCTGCCCTCGCTCTCCTTGCCGTTGTTCTCTCTCTAGCCTCTCTCCTCAATCTTCTCTCGTCTCCTGGACCTAACTCCAAGAATGTCAAGGGTCGACTGCGGGCAGTCCCGCGAGTGGTCCTACGGTCGTCCACTAGCAATTCCTCCTCACTAGTGCTTTGCATCACTCATGAGCTACAGTGTGTGTGATCTAAACTAGAATCCACACAGAATCCTACCTTAGCCTGACACACAACCGATTATGAACTACAACTAATTTCAGTCGGCCGGAACAGAAACAGTTAGGTGATATAGTAACAACTAGTGTCAGGTCCTACAGGATATATTAATTCTATTTTAGATTACCCTGGAACAGATTGCACTACAACAAAGATCTACTCTATCTGTAGTTGTCTGTCAGTTGTTAGCAAAGTCTGTCACAACTAGATAATCAAAAATAAAAATAACATCTCCTGTTGGAGATGTATACTGGATGGCAGATTGATAGTTGATTGCCACTGTGAACAGTTACCGGAATCCCCCCCCCCCCCTGTATCCTTCTTGATTGGTCACTTTGTGTCAACGTTCCAGAGCATCTGGTTGAGCAGCGTGTCTGAAGGTGTGCAATCCGGCCCACCCCTGTGCCCCAAGTCATTGTCGAACATGCCAGCCAGTCCACTCTTAT